ACGTATGGTTTGATAAACTTGTTATTTATGCCATAGTTATCTGAATAACTCTTGATATGTTAAGTTAACATAGCAGGCATGTTCTCAGTTTGTTGTTTATGGGACATGTAACGTTGCCTCTATTCTATTTTTATTCTGAATTGCCTTTCAAGATGACATATCTGTTCTTAGAGTTGGATTTTATCAAATAAATTTCCCCCAAAAATGCGACTTTTACTCCTGTGCGACTTATATATATTTTACCCTTCTTTATTATGCATTTTATGGCTGGTGCAAATTATAATCCAGAAAAATCTCTAGATATTGTGCTAATTTCTAAAAATTTAAATTATGCAATTGTGGTATTACTATTAAACGAGAAATTAAATGAAAGCTGCAATGAATACAGTTGTTGACGTGATAACTCTTAACTTTTTAAACGGTAACAGATCTAAAAACATGGTGTTTTACAGCAACGGCCCTAGTTCTCATCACGCCCATTGTCGCAAACTCCATATAAGAAATACACAGTCTGCTCATGAATCCAAATATGCAGCACCATCTTCCTCCAACTACTTCCGGTCTTCTTCTTCATCTTTTTACAAGGCAGTGAGGTCCAGTTGCTGATGTCGTTACTCGTGGGATGCAAGAAAAAAGTATTTCCACTGCAGTTTTGCGATGTATATGTACGATGCGACTAAAACGAAACACCCCATTAATTTAAAAAAAAATAGCTTTTTTTTTTTCAGTGTTTCCATTTTAGAAAATACATTTTTGTAATTACAATTTGCTTAATTTGATTGTTAATGGAAAGACAAGTCCAAAAGTAATCTCTATGGAAGAGAACCTAAAACGCATTTCATAGAATTATTGGCAAATAGGATTGTTGTGTTCTGAAGAGTTGGTTGATAACAGAAGTACTAAGCTATAACTGCTATGACAGAAAAGCAAATTGTACATTTATGTTTCCTTTAGTTAGATAAATTATAAATAATATTATAGTTACATTTATTGAAAAAGTAAGGACAGATGGCTGTTTTATGTTGCAGCATGTGACTATCTTGGGGAGAGGATGGCGTCCCTGTTTGGAATAACATCTGCTAAGTACCAATATGCCATTGATGAATACAACAGGATAAAGAAGGAGGTGAGATGTTGGGTACTTTGAATAAATGCTGTCTTCATTTTGTGTTTTTAGCCCTCTAATGTTCCACCATATGTTCCTTCTTGTGTAGAAAGAAGAAGAGAAGGAGGAGAACCGGCTGTCTGAAGAAGCAGAGAGGACCTTTAACCAGTTACAATCTCAGGAAGGGAAAAACGAGCCAATCACATCACCAGACGGACAGGAGGGGGCGTCGCCCTGCCCTGATGTGACCTATCAGGTGGAGAATGAGAATCCTTTGGCTGGGAACACCATCACCGTTCCGGCTATCGTCACTGCAACCTAACTCTTCTGAAGAAAGGACTGTTTAAGTGTTTTTTTTTTTCCATCTGTAAAGGAAAGAAAAAGATTTAGTTTCACCAAGCTGTTTTGGTTTGTGTATAACACGGCTTCTAATGGGGCAGCGTCGCTGTATTTTGGGCTAGTTGAAGAGGACAGGCATGTCGCAACAATGTGAATTTAGAAACCCATCTCTGAATCTGTGATATTATTAAGCACCTTTTAAATGCATGAAGTCGGGCAGATTTAAGTCAATAAAAGTAAGCGATTGTCGGTTGCCATAGCGACCTCAGCTATATTCTATACAAGGAAAATCCGGCGTTGCTCTCCTGTGCCTCAGATAGACCACACTCAGTGCCTAAACCACCTATACAGCCGGTGCCAGATGTGGCCGATGTCCCTTTGGACAGTTTAAGAGCCGCTCCGTCTACGTCTGTTAGCACTGATGTCATGGATCCACCTGGCTGCGCCAAAGGGCTGGTCACTTATACCCCTCCCCCCACATACGGTTCAATATGCATGCTGTATGTTAACGTGTTTAATATTACATGTTAAGACTTGTGTTGCACTTTCTGTCTGGAAGCACTGAGCAGATTGCATTGTGGCTCTGAAATCCTCTTTTAGCAACAGGCTAGGCTAACATTTAGCTAAAAAAATAAGTGAGGTTGTAAGGATTGTTTGTTACTGTTGTTTTCTGTCGACATGAAAACGGTCTGTGTTGTGGGTAATCTTATGAAAATGGGTAAAGAGTGATGACACTAAGTCTGTTTAAGGACCTAAAAACTTACATTTTTAACATTTGTAAAGAGTTTTTTACTTATGTATTTATTTATTAACTTATCAAGCCTTTCTTTTAAACATTTTCTATTGTTTTGGTAAAATTAAAATAAATCGTTGAGTCTGAGTTTAACCAATGTTTGCTTTGTTTTTGTTTTTTTTGTCATGAGATGAGTTTTAACAGGTTTTACATCGAGTCGAGAGCGTTTGACCGGCGTCACCGTCGGCCATGTTGGCTCGTCCGCTTGTTTAAAGATCTAGCTCTGTTTCGCAGTGTGATTGATGCGAAGGCTGGCTTTGTCAGTGGAAACAAAGAGCCCGTGTCACTGTGTGAGCACACTGCCCTGAGGTCAGGGACTCTGTCCGCCTGCTGCACAATGAATCCATTCTGAGTGCAGCGGGGGTTTCTGTGCCAGAACAACCTCCTCAGCAGTCCTAACCTCACTGCTGTGGACATGCAGTGATGCTTCAGCTCTATTTTGTTATGAGTCACTTTCAAACAATAGGTACAGCACTGTCGTTTTAAAACTATTCCAATCTCTACTTAATTAGTTCTTCTGTTGATGCACAGTGTTTGAAATGGCCTTGTTTCCTAGCATGGACAAGGCTTCAGCTTTTATGTCAGGGGAAAAAACACGTCACTTATCTCCTCAATCAGATCACCATCTCTAGGTAAGATCTTGTGGAAATTACACTGATAGAATCTATTAGAGTATATTTCACTAAAAGTCACTGTAGTACAGACTCCATTTATGTCTGTGTTACTTTTAAATGTCCAAATGCATCAAATTAAGAAAATACTTATATAATTATTGCCTGATATAGCTTCTAGTTAGAATCTCAATTATTAGCAAATGCAACAGTTTCTTCACCCCAATGAAGAACTGAACAAATCTGTAAAAAAAAAAATACATAATATAACTTCCTAGAATCAAAACAGTTCATACATTAGGAGCTGAATATATGTCAGTGATATTAGATTATTATTCAGATCCTAATTAATTTCAATAAATGAAGTCTGGTGCTGAACCACATTGCAGAGATTGATTAATTAAAAACAGATATGTCAAAGCCTTAAATGTGCTGTTATGAATGTCTTATTACTTCCAGAGTTTGTGTGTGTTTGTCTGTCTGTGTACGGGACAACTTGAAAAGTTAAGGACAGGTTTTAATTACATTTTTAGCAGTGGTCTCCCACATGCTTAAGTACAATCCATTCAATTTTGGTGATGATCCAGATCATAATCAGGATACAGGAATTTAAAAAAGGTTTTCTAACATTGTGAGATGGGGGATTTGGCAGAAAAAGCAGTTCCAGATTTAACCAGAAGGTGGCAGCAGTGACCATAGACAGCCTCAGCATCAGACTCATAAAATCCAGATGTATTTTACTGAAGATAAAATAACAAGAAAAAGGGAACATTGTTGGGTTGCAGGATCAATTGAAAACTTATTAATGGATTTTATGGAAATATTATATCAGAGATGCACTTCATGCCAAAGAACAATTCATTTAGGTTTGGTAATTATCCAAATCATGCAAGTCTTTTAATTTAAGTCACAATTTGGGGCGAAGATAGCTGCTTGGCGAGGGTCTGCGCTCTCAGAGTGCTTTTCAGGTTGAAATGTGTTTTTTTTTTTATTACAACAGAAGCCTGGAGCAACACATATGAGATAAAAAAAAAAAAAAACAGTCTGTACTGTTGGTGGCTTTGTCATTTAAGCTTAAAAGGACCAAGCTCTGCATCATCTAACGGTCATGAAGTTATCTGACAACAGCTCAGCATAGAGGCTATCACAGCTAAACAGTGACCATCCAACCGTTCTGTGATCAATGATATGCTGCCTCTAAAATGCTCTGAATGTTTAATGAAAATTTTATGTAAAACACCTGCTTGAAGGTTGCTTTTAAAAAGCACTTTTAATCTGACAAACGAACCCCATCAGAACATTTACTCTAATTTATTACATATGACTACAGATATATCCTCAAAATGAGATTGATGTTAAATCGTTTTTTTCATATATAATGTAAAATTTATCCTATGTCTGTTGCGAGGGACGTAGAAATAGATGCAATAAAGTGTGTACCTTATTATACTGAATTTGTGTTAGGGTTTAATTTCAGCATTTTCTTTTTTCACATTTTTATCAGTAGAAGCATCCCACATCTTGACTCAATACGATTTCTCACTATATCTTGCAAAGGTTCTCTGAATCAGAATGCTATTTCAAGTATTTAAAAATAAAAGGTTACATTCTCTGCCATTTGACATTTTGTCTAATGAAGTTATTCTTACGTTATTTTGATTTATACCTGAATTTATTGTTGTTTTAATATAAACGAAACATTAAATCCAGCTTTACCTTCAGTCCTCTGGGAAAACAACTAACTTAATTTGAAGAAAATGTTGAAAAGTTTTAATCAGACGCATTATTACTGATATTAGGTGTATATACTGAACCCTAATTCTGATTAATTATGATACCATTTTAGATTTCTTTCACTGGTTTGTTTTCTAGTTGGATTAATCAGTATTTATTACAATAGATACATCACTTCTCAGGATTTTAAATAATAAAAACAGGCTTTTAAAGAGCTGTGGAGGGTTTTCATTTCATACCTGAGCTTGTTTATTTAGGATTTGAGTTCAGGTAGAACTAGAAAAGAAGCCAAAAAGATTTCAAATCAGCAAAATGACTTAAATATTTTAAAATGATGGAAAACCCACATTTCTTTATGAGTGTAAAACACTAAAGAAAACAATACTGATTTACGTAACAAGAAAACACCCAAACTGACACTACATGTGAATGTCTTTCGAATATCCAAATTGTCAAAAAAGGCAGATTTTTATTTTAATGACGTTTGTACGTCTGACAGTACATCATTACAGCAGAGCAGAATGGAGACGTCTCATCTCTAACTGTCAGCTTGTGAGGTAAGTAGTACTCCAGAACGCCAGCTCCCACAGCACAATACTGACAGACACCACCGCCCACTGACAGCCTAACATGGTTCTTAGCCCAGATAACAAAACTGGAACACTGTTAATAATCCATCATGCTCATAAAATTGGTAATTAAAGAGGTGGACCAGATTTTTGAGTCATGTTTCCAGCGTGATATGGATAATCCATGCTGTTGTTTATTGAATCCTTTGTTATTATGGGCTCACCCCCCCAGATTAATTTAAGCTGGATTTATTATTATTATTATTATTATTATTATTATCATTGTAGTTGTTTTATTTGTTGTTATAATTATTAAAGCTGTTTTATGCATATTTAGAAGTCTTTTAACTGTTAATTTTCTTCTATTGTTTGGTAGTTATTGAGGAAATTACAACACAAAAGAAATTTGCAGAAAATGATTTAGCCCTGTTTTCTCTCATACCCCTAAATACAATCTAATGCAAAAGGAAACATGTATTTCATAGTAATGGCAGCATCATGTTGTTGGGGTGTTTTCTTCCACAGTTTTCCTCTATTGAGATAGCGGTCACAGGTGCTGTTTTTTGGTGTCTATTTTTGGTTTAGCATCCCTTTTAAAGGCAAATATGAAGGAAAACTGATCAAATCAACGTTGATTGTTGAATAAATAAATACATTAGATAATTCCTCACCTTACTTTCTTATGTTACAATGAGATATATAATACACGAATATTTTATGGTACTGATGAAAGTTTCCACTCAATTTGTTTTTTTCTTAATTAAATTTAGTACATATTACTTAATATCAAACTAATTGCATTTTACATCTTTTTATATTCTTTTTTTTTTTTTTTTCTTATAGTTGAGTTTCTCTCTTCCACTCTGATGTGGACTACTTCCTATCTTGATCTAGTTGAAAAACTTGAAAAACAGTTTTTGGGGTAATAAAAATGATTGCAGCTCACAGAAAAACTCGTGTCAGAGTGGAAACCAACGAGATATTGTTCACATGAAATTAAGAAAAAAAAAAAGTTTGGGAGGGTTTGTTGATTCAGTTTTTGGATTCAAATAGAATCGACTCTATATGGTCAGTAACCAAGAGTCAAACCATAAACATGCACAGCTCAGCCTTTTATGTTGCCTGTTTTAATGCATTTTTCATTCCTCTTTCAGAGCCAAAGAAAACAAACAAACAAAAAAATTAATAAATTACAGTATTTTGCAGTAGATCTGGAAAACAAACTGCTACCAGTCCACAAGATGGCAGTATTGTCTTTGTTTTTGGAAAATCAATTTACTCAAACATATCAGTTCACACAAGGTCCTATGTATAGATACACAGCTGTATAATAAGCACTCACACACCCACACAAAACACACGCCTGTGTTGGTGTGCGTGTGTGTATATATATATATATATATATATATATACACACACGCACACCAACACAGGCGTGTGTTTTGTGTGGGTGTGTGAGTGCTTATTATACAGCTGTGTATCTATACATAGGACCTTGTGTGAACTGATATGTTTGAGTAAATTGATTTTCCAAAAACAAAGACAATACTGCCATCTTGTGGACTGGTAGCAGTTTGTTTTCCAGATCTACTGCAAAATACTGTAATTTATTAATTTTTTTGTTTGTTTGTTTTCTTTGGCTCTGAAAGAGGAATGAAAAATGCATTAAAACAGGCAACATAAAAGGCTGAGCTGTGCATGTTTATGGTTTGACTCTTGGTTACTGACCATATAGAGTCGATTCTATTTGAATCCAAAAACTGAATCAACAAACCCTCCCAAACTTTTTTTTTTTCTTAATTTCATGTGAACAATATCTCGTTGGTTTCCACTCTGACACGAGTTTTTCTGTGAGCTGCAATCATTTTTATTACCCCAAAAACTGTTTTTCAAGTTTTTCAACTAGATCAAGATAGGAAGTAGTCCACATCAGAGTGGAAGAGAGAAACTCAACTATAAGAAAAAAAAAAAAAANATATATATATATGTTTCTTTCATAAATTAACTGCATTTGTTCTTAAATTGACCAGCAGATAAGTGAGACACTTTGCCATCGGAATCAGTCAATTTACATTTAAAATAAGTAAAACACAACTGTAGTCTCTTATTTCAAGCACATAGTATCTAATTATCTTATTTTAATGCTAAATACACTGATTACCCAGTCAAATCTAGGGTAAATACACATTTTAA